TTTTTTTTTTTTTTTTAAAGAAAAAATTTGAAACGATGCTTTGGAATGTGAAATTTTTTTTAGCTCTGTTATGTCTGAATGTTTGAATGGAATTTTCTTGTTTGGTAAAATGTGCTATTGAATAAAAAAACTTCGAATGTACTTAAATCCATGTGATTTTCGAATTTCAAGATTATTTCCACCATGAAATTGGCCAGGAATAGGACTGAATAGATGAATGAACCATACAATATCAATTAGTGAATAGATGAATGAACCATACAATATCAATTAGTGCATTTTTTTGGTTTATTTATTGAGAAGAAAATCCTACCTAGGCACAGGTTTTAGTTAATTCAAATACCTTAAGACTAGGATACCAGGTGATTCCATACAATATCAATTAGTGTATTTTTTATGGTTTATTTATTGAGAAGAAAATCCTACCTAGGCACAGGTTTTAGTTAATTCAAATACCTTATGACTAGGATACCAGGTGATTCCATCTGCATTGGTGCCCTGGAAGAAAAAGTGATGGAGGGAAATTTTCTGATGTCAGCTGATTCTCTGCTTGCATTGTCTTTTCTATAGGAGTTCAGAAATTTGATTCGTGTACTTTCTCAATGAAAGTGCAATTTGGAAATAAGTATTGTGTGCATCACTTTGTACCTAGATACATCAAACTGGATTGGAAGATATCTATCATTAACTTGAAAACTTAACTATATGGGATTGCCATAGAGTTGTCAGTTAAGATGATTCGTCAAACCCAAAGTTCAAGCAACGAAGAAATAAGCATAATTGGCCATAAATGAATATTTAAGTAGCATACCTGCGAAGAAAGCAAGAAAAAGAATTTAAACTTTTTGTCAAAAGAAAGACAATGATACCTGAATTGGAGTCACATTTCTCGGGGTAGTTGAGTTGCTATAATATGGGCCTGAAGGCTGTTTGAGAAGCTTAAATCTGGAGTACTGCATCATCTTTGTACTATATTGTTGCAGTTCCCAGTCCATAGTAAAAAGGCTTCACCTGTGAAAAAAGCTGCCAGTTCAATTGAGTTTTTCCTACAGGCAGAGTGCCATTAGGACTTCCGTACGTCGGTACGTGTTTAAGATGCCTTGAAAGTAAACCTTGCTTGATTTTATGGTTGTTTTGGGTGAGAAATTTTAGAAATTTATCATTGATACACAAGAAATTATTTTTGTCATGAAGGGAAATTGACAACTACTAAATGCAATATATCCCTTTACCTGCAAGATCAACTATTCCTGCCCATTTTAACTGATTGATTATTCCTTTAATCTGGCTTCTATTTAGTAGTTTCACAGTTGTACGTGCATTATACTGCTTTTATTCATTTACCATTTTATATGCTTATTTGTTCCCCTTAAATATTATTTACCCACTCATCGTCCATGGTTTTCCAGTCTTGATTTCAGGTCTTTAGAATTTTGAATATAGAACTTGTGGAGAAGCACCATGTCTGTATCAATGAAAGATGTGGATCCAGCTTTCCAGGGAGCTGGACAAAAGGCGTATCCTGTTGTGAACAATAAAAGCTTTATCATTATAGATCATGCTTACCCCTATATCATTTTTAATTGCTATTATTATTGCTTTAAATTATGTTAGTATGATGACTTGACACATGTTTGTCTCCTTAACATTAATCTAGCAGCCTTGAGATATGGCGAATTGAAAATTTCCAGCCTCTCACAGTCCCAAAATCCTCTCATGGAAAATTTTTCACAGGAGATTCCTATGTAATTCTAAAGGTAATTTTGAAGTTTTCTTCTCCAGAAATATATTTTTGTTCTTCTGTTTATTATGTTTTGGACTGCTGAAGCCAATTTCGGCTTTAAAATGCATTTTGAACTTTTCATTCTTCGATAATGCATAATATGCTCTTCTTAGCCCAGACAATAAATAGGATATATGTTTAGTTCCAGATGTTTCCCTTTGGTATTAGTCAGTTAATCTTATGTGATTAACTATAAATCTCATACTTGAAGGAGTTCGAAGAGAATATCGCCAGTCTTTTACCTGGAAACTCTTTCTAGACAGTGCGTGATAAATGGCAGATCTGTGTCTGGAATCATAAGATAGAAAGATCTGGCTGATTGCTAAACTTTCTTGATACATTTTCTTATATGCCATTTGCCTCTGGTTCTATTCCTGATTACTAAACATGATTTATTTCTTTGTTTGTATATGGCTGTCAGAAGTCAGAACTATATGCAGTGTTTCCAAGTTTATCGAATATGGATCTTCATCCAATCAGTTGAACTGTCAAAATACTCTCGACATTGAATTTTAAATTGTTTAGAGCAGCCTGTCATCATAGGGCATCCTTTTCTTTGTATCAGCTTTAACCTCTTCTGAGGCCTGAGCTATTTGCGTGTTACACATAGAATACAAAAGCAGATCTTATTTCTTTCCCAAGTCGATGTCTTTTACTCTTTGACACTAATTCGGCTGCACAACAGTGTTATCAAATTTCCGCCATGGCGGAATGGCGTGGCGGTTTTTGGCCTTTCCGCCATCCGATATCCGTTATACGGCGGATTTGCAATGGCGGCGCCATGGCGGTCATGGCGGTATGGCGGATATGGCGTGAAATGGCGGAAATCTGGGCCAATTTTGGTTAAAAACGAAATTGGGCCTTTTTTACAGGCCCAAGTACTGAAAAATAAGGAAATATAAAACATAATACATACGGGCTTCTCTCTTCCTGAAACACAAAAAACCCTACGCTCCTCAAACTCTCCCTATCTGTTGCTTCCGTGCGGCGTGCGCTCTCTACTGACCCAACCCTCCGGCGACCGGTGACCGGCGACCGGCGACTCCAGATCCGGCAAGGCAGCTCTCAATCACTAGTAAGTTCTTTTCTTCTTCTATTTTCAGTTTCAGATTTAGGCCATTTTTTTTTTCCTTCATTTCATAATTGATGATTAATGATGTGAATAAGTGAATGGAAAGAAACTGAAAGTATGGAAAGAAAGCTTTATGTGAATAAGTGAATGAAAGAAAGCTTTTTTTNTTAATGTGCAATGTTGATCTGAAGGTATAGTTTTTCCTGGCAGTCGCGATCACCAACTTCAAGCACGGCCGCGGTCCGCTGAAGACCAACAGCGTCCCGATTGAGTTGATCCAGCACAGATCAGCGGGATTAGAAGGAGATTTGGGCGGCGGCGTCTGGGAAGGAGTCGCGGCCGGCTTGTATGGCGTCGTTCTGGGGACTGCACATGGTGAGGAGAAAGTTTTGATTGAAGTGTTTTTACAGATGCCAAAAAATGTTAGTTTCTTTGCTTTCCAATCCTGCATCCTTAATGCCCATCTATTCAATTAATAAAAAGCATTTTGTAAAATTTGGGTTAGTCATCTGACAGAATATCCCAAAATATACAGTTCGGTAACACACACCTGGATTAAAGGTTCTGATTTCATAATAGTTTGCGTTGGTCTCAGTTTGGGTTTTAGGACAAGTGGAGTAACATGAGTGTGATGGCGAACGGGTGGGGTTCACGGGAAAGGGGCAGGCTGGCGCTGAAAAGGATTTACCTAACACCCAAACATGGAGAGAGCTCTATGCTTCTGACGCGTATCTTAGGTGGATGCTCTGAAAGATGAACTTGCGAAATTCTATGAAAATGATGCGATTGGATCTAAGGACTTGTCGAGAATTGTAAATTTGTGTCATTTTGACCGTTTGTCAACAGGACGTAACCAATTTGTAAGTTCTGAAACTCAAATTTTTCCTTTACTACAGTAGCTGAGAGTAGCTGATTGTTCTTTTCTACATGAAACAATTATATGTAATTATCGATATTCGAAATTTGGTTTCATATTGTTAAGTAGAATTAATCTTTTGCTTTTCAACGCATCTTCTCAAATATTGTGTTCCAACAATAAAATTTTATTGACGCTATTTATAAATTCGTAGATATCTCATTATATTATTGCATTGTTTAGTTCCTTATGCATTGTTGATGAGTTATTTGAAGCTAGATTTATAAATGCCATAAAAGGTGGGTGTGTGTATTTTTTAATTTGCCAAATATTAGTTATAATTATAGACTGGACTAGAGCCGGCTGTGCGTGCACAGCCACTGGCCAACTAGTAAATATATATAAAATATATATTTTTGGGTCCGCCATAACTTCCGCCATTTTCCGCTACGCTATCCGCCATATAAATATGGCGGTTTTTTGGCTTTCCGCCATGGACCGCCATCCGCCATTGATAACATTGCTGCACAATCAATTTGGGCACTTTGTTGAATCTTATTTCAAACAAATTATGAAATAAGAGTCTTTAATTGTGTTTCCAGTATGCCATGATTACGGTTTACTTAGATTTAAATCGTACTCCTTCGTGTTAATGTCTTATAAATTATAATATAGGAGCATGACATTTTTTTTTTTCTTGCTGCAGACCACTGCATTGAAAAGTGGTGCACTACGCCATGATATTCATTATTGGCTAGGTAAAGATACCAGTCAGGTATGTTGTGTACATTAACTTTCTTTATTTATATATTTTGTCACAGTATATATTTAGTTTTGTATTATTTTCGATTCAGGATGAAGCTGGTACTGCAGCTATCAAAACTATTGAATTAGATGCAGCGCTGGGGGGGGCGTGCTGTTCAATACCGTGAATTACAAGGCCATGAGACAGAGAAGTTCCTTTCCTATTTTAAGCCATGTATAATAGCTCAAGAAGGTGGAGTTGCTTCGGGCTTCAAGCATGTTGAGGCCGAAGAACATCAGACTCGTTTGTTTGTTTGTAAAGGGAAGCATGTTATTCAAGTGAAAGAGGTCAGTGTTTTTTTTTTTTCTTTATTTAGTACACATATCTATATCACTATACTTGTTTATAATTATGATCTGACAGGTGCCTTTTGCTCGATCCTCTCTCAATCATGACGACATCTTTATTCTCGATACAACATCTAAAATTTTCAAATTCAATGGTTCTAATTCATCCATTCAAGAGAGAGCTAAAGCGCTAGAAGTTGTTCAGTACATTAAAGATACATATCATGATGGAAAATGTGAAATAGCAGCTATCGGTAACTGTGCTGTTGATTTAATTTGCTTAAGTTTGTGAACTGATTGATGAGTGCTTCAAGTTATTTATTTGTCAACATGCAGAAGATGGAAGGCTAATGGCTGATGCTGAGACAGGAGAATTTTGGGGTTTCTTTGGTGGCTTTGCACCGCTTCCGAGGAAAACAGCCGCTAATGATCTGAACATAACTGATGCTGGTCCTTCTAAGCTCTTCTGGTATATAATTTCCTCTTAGTACTTTGCTTTCTCACTTGCATCATGTGTCATAACTTGGATTAAGTTGTTATTGTGTGTGTTGATCCAGTATTGAAATTGATGTTCCTTTTTGTTCAGTATATTTGAACTGAAGCAAATTGATCGTTTTCAGTTTATATGGATTCCTTAAACATCATGCCTGTTATGTGTTTTGTGCATTTAGAAAGTTTCTTCAACTGCATATATGTTGCAATGACAGCCTGTAGTAGATAGTATATGTATCGTATCAATTTGCTGATATTATTATTTATATATAATGCAACCTTCTAAATTATGTGGTTTCTGATAATTTTCTCGTGTGTCAAGTGTTGAGAAGGGGGAGGCATTACCAATTGAGGCCGATTCTTTGACGAGGGATTTACTAGACACACATAAATGCTTTATTCTCGACTGTGGTGTGGAAGTATTTATTTGGATGGGCAGAAATACTTCTCTTAATCAAAGAAAAGCTGCAAGCAGCACTGTTGACGTAAGCTTAGTAACTTTAGTGAATGTTCAACTCAATTCTTGGCCGATTTTATATTTTAGTACAATTTTGTTACGTTCACGTAGGAATTACTGCGTGGTCAAGATAGAGCCAAATCGCATGTAAGCCGTGTGATTGAAGGATTTGAGACAGTGACATTTCGTTCAAAGTTTAATTCATGGCCTCAAACTGTTAGTGTAACCGTGTCTGAGGAGGGTCGAGGGAAAGTTGCAGGTCAGTAATTTATAAGGCAGTATTTTGGTAGTTGGTACTTTCGAAATAGAGCCATATAAAAACTAGGATTAATTACAAAACTTACCTTGAAGATTGACATAACTGCCAAATAGAAACTAAGTTATGTTTCAAAACAAAAAATATCCCCTTCGCATTTGTTTCTCTTACGGAAGCTGCACATTCAAGATAACCAACTAACTACGAACCTTAAGGTGGTTTTTTTAATATTTTCAAGAGGCATTTTGTATTTATTTATTTTTTATTTTTGTGAAAACAATTGTTTTTTTTTTTTTGGTAATTAAGCTAAAATCTTTTGTAGTTATCCCTCGAATATCCTTTCTTCTTCTTGGGTTGCTTTCTGTAGTCATGGTTGTCCTGACTATTTTCCTTTACTATTTAAGCTCTTATTATGCTGTCTGTGATGCTTGTAGCACTTCTAAAGCGCCAAGGCTTAAATGTGAAGGGTCTTCTCAAAGCTGAAACTCCTAAAGAAGAGACTCAATTATATATAGATTGCACAGGGGATTTAAAGGTGATTGCTGTCAGCTGTGTTTATTTCTCTACGTATACTGTTCGAAAAATTAGTGGTTTATTTCTTGTTTCTGTTTTTAATATTCAACATTGAGAAAGAGAAACAGATATTTTGAAGAAGTTATCCACTTCAAGAAAATAAAATCTTTGGAAATAGATGGACCAAAAGCTAAATAACAAAACTAGAAGGCGAACTATTCTTTTTTTACATGTTTAATTAAAATATGAATCAATACCATTTTAATAAGTTCCTTAGGGTTTAAGAACTAGTCACCAAGTCTCTCTTTAGCTCACATCCAGGAATAGCCCATCACTTGGCTAACAAAAGCCCATCACTTGGCTAACAAAAGCAAAGTTTTGAATTTGATTCTTAATTGTGGAGTGTATATAATATGGAAGAACTTGTGCTCATAAAATTAGAAAACAAAAGGAAAGAAGATGACTAGTATATGGAGGTGGAAATAACCTCTCTAGCTGGTATTTGAGAAAAATGGTGAAGGAAATACTGGTAGCTCCAAATCAATAGCATTCAAGGATAATTAAGAAAGATACAAGAAAAACTTTTGACTTTTGAGATCTTATGTCTCTCGCTAGTCCTTGAACCTTGATACACTTTTCTAATGATTTCTATCGCTAATGTAAGAATTCATTTTCATTTTTTATTTATTTATTTTATGTTGTATTTATTTATTTTTTTGGTTGTATGTGGCCATTTTTCTGGAGCCATAAAACTTGTCATGTGATCAATAATTGCATTTCTTGGTTAACTACTGCTGATTTTCAATTCACTACTCATATCAGGTATGGCGTGTGAATGGTCAGCAGAGGACTCTTCTTTCAGGTTTCGATCAGTCTAAATTTTACAGTGGTGATTGCTATATCTTTCAATATTCTTATCCCGGAGAAGATAAAGACGAACATCTTATTGGCACGTGGTTTGGGAAGCATAGTATTGAGGTGAAACATTCGTTTACTTCCTGAAGTTCTTGTACCTTGTGCCTAGTCAATATATCAGTTTTGGCAACCACAAATTTCAGGATTGCTGCCTTTTTTAGCACGTTCTTTGTTATGCAATTTTGTGGAGATAAAAGTTATAGCTTATTAGCGATGTAACATTGTAACTAAAATCAGTTGAATTTTCTGACTTGGGGCTTAAGATAGAAATATTTTCTGCTAATAATGGAAAGTTTATTGCTGAAACCCAGAAGTTATACCTTTCCAAGTTTAGAAACTTGTATGAATAAACATCATGAAAACAATTATCCACCATCTTCAATAGAGATATACCGATGAACCTAAAGAGGTTATGTTGTCTTTGTTGTCCTTTGCATTTCTTATGCTTTTGATGTCAAGCTAGTAATCTTGCTTCCANAGTCTCTGAAGTTTGTACCCACTCAGGTATATTACCTTCCTTGATAACTTTATTTCGATTTTACTTGTATGCAAACTTCTGTCCTGGTGTGATAATTGTTACTGCATATTACTAGGTTTGCATCCACGAAGGAAATGAACCACTCCAGTTCTTTGCAATTTTTCAGAGCTTCATTCTCTTCAAGGTTTGGAAGATTACTGAAATAGAATACATGGAGTTTGTCATGAGCTCATAATTCATATTAACATATTGGTTAGTAACCATGAATTTCTTATGTTGTAATTATTATTATTTTACTTTGTATGTTTCCAGGGTGGGCTTAGTAAGGGTTACAAAAATCACATTTCCGAGAAGGAACTTGAAGATGATACATATTCGGCAGATGGACTTGCGCTGTTTCGAGTTCAAGGAAGTGGACCAGAAAATATGCAAGCCATTCAAGTTGATCCTGTAAGTGCTCTGCTCTAATATGAATTAGTTCAGCCTGTCAGATTAACAACTGGAATTTGGTTGCATATTGATTTGTCTTTATGGTCTCTCGTAATTTTCAAATTTGCAAAAGCATCGGTGGAACCATATAGAAAATAAATTCCCGTTTCTAGGTCTTCCCTGTGTGAACTTTTCCATTTAATGAAGCTAATAGAATATTAATCTGTTCCTTTAATTTTAATATATCCAGGTGGCTTCATCACTGAATTCTTCCTACTGTTACATACTACATAGTGGATCCTCTATCTTTATCTGGACAGGAAATCTTACATCATCTGAAGCCCAAGAACTCGCTGAAAGGCAGCTGGATCTTATAAGGGTATGACACTCTTGTGTTTATATTTCCTTAAACATTATGAAATCACCCAAGGTTTTTTAGTTTGTTGCATGGTATAGATCTGAGTATTATACCGCATTTAAAGTTTAGCGTAATTGCAGAAAAACCAAGTTACCTTTCACAATTACTAATGCGCCTCTTTATGATTTTTGGGGTGTGATTTGTATAAAAAAAAGGCCTCAAGGGATATTTTTAATGATTTTATTTTTCTTTTAAAAAACAACTGATTGTTTTGTGATTAGATTAAACGTCGCAACTCAAATGATTTCGTGATAGTCAAATGTATTGTATTCATGTGCTGCTTCCATCTGATCAGTAATGCATAGTTTGAATAATAAAGGGCGTGTTGAGTGGTTGGATATCTGTTGCTTGAAATTCACTGTTTAGTTTGCATAACGTGTCCTTGTCTTGCTTTGCATTTGCAGCCAAACTCACAATCTAAATTGCAAAAAGAAGGTGCCGAGATTGAGCAGTTTTGGGATTTGTTAGGTGGAAAATCTGAGTACCCAAGCCAGAAAATTGCAAGAAAAGCTGAAAGTGATCCTCATATATTCTCCTGCACCTTAACGAAGGGTACTGCATTTTATATTAGTTACTGATTATACAATTTTTGTGATTCTTTTTTTTTTTTTCATTTTTTCTTTATTGTGTGAATCCAATTAACATCTTCATTCATTTGCTTGGGTGGTAATTCTTGCTGGACTTCTCACTGTCCAGGAGATCTCAAGGTATGTATCTCATATCACTTTATAATATAAGTAGAAAACATAAATGCAGTTTGATTAGTATCTTCACCAATCAGTTGTGCTAGTTTGTCATTGCATTTATCTCGAGTAACGAGCTGAGAGCCCAAAAATCTTGCATTGGCAATGAAGTGATGTTTTGAGTATTTCTGTTCTTTTCTCTCTCCCACAACGGCCTGACATTGGATCATAATCTCTATTTCAGGTGACTGAGGTTCATAATTTCAATCAGGACGATCTAATGACAGAAGATATATTCATTCTTGACTGCCAATCAGATATTTATGTGTGGGTTGGCCAACATGTGGAGTCAAAGAATAAGATGAATGCTTCAAGTATCGGAGAGGTAAAGTTTGACTTGATTTCATTTTTCAATTATGCGTAAGTGAGATTTGCTTCGGTATCTTGTGAAGACCATCTTACATTTTGCTTAGTGATGAGCCAACATGCTTGAAGATGTGGCTTTCAGAAACCAAAGGTCTAATATTAGACTGGACCCTTTTATTAATGCAATTTGTTTAGAAGGTTTTTGTGCTTTGAACTTTTGGTAAATTGATCGTAATTGCATTTGCATTTGGTTTGATGTGTTGAATTCTTTGAAAATTAAGTCTTCAGTTTTCTCCTAGTGGCTGATGATTAAGGTTTTTGTGATTTGTTTATTATTGGTATGTGTGGTGGTGGATTTGGTGGCTTATAAATATAAGTCAATTTGGCAAAGCTCTACAGAATTAATCATCTTATTATTACTTAAATTGGGTGTAGCCTCACTATTATAGAAGTTGGGATCTTGATTCTTGAGGCTCCTTACATTTGAAGTGGTTCGCAAGTTCTAACATGACACCATATATGCTCTTGTATTCAAAACAGAAATTCCTGGAGCGTGATTTTCTTCACGAGAATCTATCTCTTCAAACCCCGATATATATTGTCAATGAAGGGGGGGAACCAACCTTTTTCACTCGTTTTTTCTCTTGGGACTCCTCCAAATCTGCTGTAAGTGCCTTTTTATACATAGCGTCATTGCAATTCACTGCTTTATATTATTCTCAGTAACTTCTCTGGTCACAGATGCATGGTAACTCATTTCAAAGGAAATTGGCTATTCTTAAACATGGAGGCACCCCAGTGGTGGATGTGAGTTCCTTTCCTCTTTTTCCTTTTTTTTTTTTTTTTTTTTTTTTTTCAGTGTATGTTCTATTGTATGCATGATAAACCTAGTGGGTTCATTTTTTTGCTGAAGTGACCAGGTAGTGTAAAAAACTCTTCTCAGTTCAGAAAATTGTTCGTAAAGTTGCTGCATTTTTACTTTAATATTTGAAAGTTCTATTGTATGCCTGACAAACCTAGTTGGTTCCTGTTTTGCTGAACCAACCAGGTAGGGTAAAAAACTCTTCTCAAATTTAGAAATTGTTAGTAAAGTTACTGCATTTTTATTTAATAGATTAAATTGAACCTCTTGAATTGCAATCATAAAAGTATGCTGGTATAACATTTTAACGAGGCAAGCAGGGGAGCAGAAGTTGAGTCTGTAAATTATTAGTTGAAGTGTAATATGGCTAACAAAAAGAAGCATCTCAAGCTGAAAAGATGGTAGGGAAGAAAAATGTGTTACCCATATCAAATCTCGAAATAATTTTGTTCCTAATTTTTAAACTTAATTCAATTTTGGTTGGACATTCTGTTGTTGAACTCTTAATGGAGTTGCAAAATCTTTAGGGTGTGATTGGTTATAAACTTCACCAAAATAAAACCAATCAAAACACAAATTTAACTCAACCCCACTATCCTTAATATTATCAACACAATTAAATAGTGTCAACCAGTCATTCTTACACGTCATATCAACCAACTTTAATTCACTATTTTTATCTAACCATTACTTCCAATTATTTTTATCCTATTTTTACATCAAATCAACTTTAATTGTTTTATTTTAAATAATATTTTAATTTAAACTTAAATTCTCATTAATAACTAACCATACCACATTTTTCAAAATTAACTATGGTTTAAAAAAAATACAATAAAAAACCAATCAAATTCATATCCAATCACACCCTTAATAATCTATATGGGCCTCAAGTCGTGGATAATAGACAAGTAGAGCTTCAGATCGTCTTCAGTAATTATTAAATTACTTGCATAATTAGTTTCTTTTAACCCACTCAGCTACTCTCATAGCAAAGACTGAAATGGCTTCCAGATTTTACTAAAGTGTGATTGCTTAGGGAAATTTCTTAACATACTCCATAGATGATACTGCAAATCGATTTTGAAATGGAAGGATATTTTGAAAATTTTCAAAAAAAAAAAAAAAATAATTACTATAATGAGTAATTTTGAAATTTTAGGCTGGAAACCAAATGATTTAGATGATTTCTAGTTACTACAAGTAAATATCATTGTCTCCTTATATATTAATAGATACTCCAAAGCTATTGATACAATTCTATAAGTTGCATGTTAACTTCTTTTAACATTTATGTAATTTCAAAACTAACATTGAAAAGATGTGCTTTTACTTCATGGGCGACAAATGGATGTTTCTTGATTTGGCTTATAATGAGTAATTTTGAAATTTTAGGCTGGAAACCAAATGATTTTTAGTTACAATTCTTTGTTATAGGTTATCCAAGTACAATTCTTGGTCCCTCCCATGGGACGACAATAGTTTGGATACGATCTTCTCCCACGGAGCTACTTGTAGCAATAGATTCCCGTGGGACGGGAAAAGATGGAGGTAAATTTAAAATTAAGAGTATTTGTGTTTAATTTGTCTAATTTGAAAATAACTAGTTCTTGTCTAATTTGAAAATAACAATTTTTTTTTTAATTTTTGTATTGGCGAATCAGATTATGAATTTCTGATGACGGATGAGGGACAAAAATTTGTTCGTATCGGAGAATATTTTGCAACTCTCTGTGGAAACGCCAGTAGATGTGATGCAGTGATGAAGCACCTTAAGAAGTTTGTGAGCCAGCTGCCACATATGAGTTCGAACCTGCGTGACTTCGGCGAGGTGGCGATGGGTTATTTGAGAAATTCATACCATCGTGGAAAGCAGTGCGAGGTGGAAATACTCATAGGCACTTGGTTACCAAAGGAAGAGGTAACTTCGTAATTTTGAATTTGACTAGGAAGATGCACGTCGATATAATTGTTTTTGTTTTACTTAAATTTATTTTTATTATTAGATTAAATTTAATGGTATAATAGAATTTTCTTTTCATTAGAGAGAGGATTATAACCTTACAAATCATAATAGGAAATGAGCCCATCAATATAATAAATAGGACTAGGTGAGTCAATTAAGATTAAATTTTGGGAGGACTTGGTGTCTTTGATTCAAGCAATCCCTCAAAATGAGAATCCTTTTGGGAGGGGATTTAAATGGGCATGTAGGGGAGAGAAACATTGACTATGAGAGGGTTCATGAAGGTTTTGGTTTTGGAGTATCAAATAATGTAGGCAAAATTATTTTAGACTTTTCGGTGGCGTATGATTTCATTATATGTAACACTTATTTTAAAAAGAGAGAGGAACACTTAGTTACATACAAGACTGGCGCTAATATGTCACAAATTGACTATTTTCTATGTGATAAAAGATTTTGGTGAGAAGGGTAGACACATTAGAATTAAGAAACGCAAATTAAAATGGGGAGGGGTAGATCTAAGAAAACTTGGAAGGAAAAATAAAAAATGATTTAAAATATTTAAATTTGAATGAGGACATGGTGATGGTTGGATATAAATTTTTTTGGTTTGGTTTGATTAATTTTGAAAAAGGTGGTATGGTTAGTTGTGAGTGGGATATTAAAATAATATTTAAAATAAAATAATTAAAGTTTGATTTGATGTAAAAGTAGGAGAGATGGTTTGAAGTGATGGTTAGCTCAAATTATGTGATTGGATGAATAGTGAATTAATGTTGATGTAGTGTGTAAGAATGATTGATTGATATTATTTAATTATATTGATAATATTGATGATAGTGGGGCAGAGTTAAAATTCAGTTAAAAAAGCAGTTGAGTTAAAAATGATTTGGATTTTTTTGGACAAATTTATATCCAAGCATCCTCATATGTGTTTTGATCGAGCACAATAGCGACATGTGATCCATATAGCCAAATAGTTGTATTTTTGCATAAGAATGGTGTATTTTATGATAAGCAATAATAAATGTATTGAATAACAAAATGTAATATTTAATATTATTAATCGAACTCTATGATAAGTAAAATTAAATAAATAAACATTGGGTTGAAAATCTAAAATAAAATTCTTAATTTTTTATGAAATTTTTAATACTAAAGAAATCTGTTATGTCGTCTACTTTGTTATTTAATGATTAACGATATCTTCATGCTTTAGTGGTCATTATTATTGTCATTCATAATTTAGTTTTTTGATGTCTTCCTTTTGCGTCTTTAAAATATGACTCGAATTTGCTATAAATATCATTTGTATTGATCATTTTTTATTTTATTGTTGATCGGAGGCTAGTCAACTATGCTTGAATGTTTCATTGTATATTATTTTGATGATAGTGGTTGCCAATTCAATTATATTAACGAGTATAATATTTCATAATACTTAGATATATATTTTCTCTCTTAATATAATAACATAAGAGATAAATAAATATTTCAAAATGTCTTTAAAATCGTAATTATTCCAAAAAGAAAATTTACTCGAAAATTATTAGGAACAATAACATCCTTAATTGATTAAAGTTACCCATCTATCTATATATATTTTCTAAGATTGGTTGAAGGGACCCATCTATATATTGTTCAACATAAATTGTTGTTGCATCTCCTATCATTGCAATCAACACATTATTATTTTCGTTCATGAATTTTCAAGACCATCCTAAGTGTGAAAAAATAAATAATTCCAGTAATTAATTATTTTCTCTACTTTTGAGAAGTGATTTGAAACATTTAATTTATGAATGATTCTATAAAATGATTGGCCAATGACAATAATTTTAAAGTAAATATACTTTATTTATTTGATTTTAACCGTACCCATTTTATAATAAATACTAGTATTTTGAAATTCAAGATTTAAAATCGAGCTTTAGTTATTTTATTTTATTTTTGATCACTCTATTTTTTATTTATATTACAATTTAAGTAAATGCTAGATTAATTTATGTAACACATATTATCATAAAAGAACATTTATACTATACATACTATTAACATATAGCATATTGTTTTACTGAATAATTTAAACAAAATATTTATATTAAGATTTTATATTTTTCACCTAACGACATTTTTGAATGTTGAAGAATTATATGAAATAAGTATTATTTATTATAATATTAAGATAATATTTTCTCTAACATTTAAAACTACTTTTAAAATATGTATGAAACCTAAAATCATATGTATATTAATTCTAAATAATATAATTAAGAATAAATTATTTGTTTAACATCTATAACTTTGCGTAGATAATCTTATTGTATATGTAAAAACTTAAATATATAATTGAGTATAAAAAATAAAAGATAATAAATAAAAGTAAGTAAAGAAATGGAGGTTTAAAAACTTAACAGATAATGTTAGTTTTAACTTCTGAGAGAATTACATTAAGGGCATTATTGACAATTCAAAAGTTTCTAGAAACTACTCTCTGAGTTATAGATATTAATTATTTTTTCTCTTTTTCATTTTAAATTAAAATCTGCTGCTACTAATTATACCATTTTATTATGCTCTAGCGCTACGATGTTATTATGCTTCGGGATGATTTGCTTAATCCCTTGACGGTGGATCAAAAAATTCTCGCTTGTGGGGCCTCTCATGCACGTTTCTTCTTAGACCGGTAAGCGTATATTTCTCGAAAAGGCTGATATTTGACAAATAAATATCTCTAAACTCTCACATTATTTCTCCACTCTCACTTTATCCTTCACATTCTCTCTCCACTCACATTATCCCTCTACATGCTGCATATGAACCTCATTTGAGATTTGAAAACATAAGTTGGTGTATCGTTATAGTTGGCCATATAACAACCCTATCTTAAGAAAAGCAGTAAGTCTATAACAATCTAATACATAGTTGACAATACGTTAAAATTGTAATTTCTTTTGTACACTCTCCTAGGTTCACTAGAATCTAAATCTTCCATAGCTGCTTGATTGGAGAAATAGTTTTTGAATTGTATAGAGTACACACAACAAATTAATAGCTGACAAGAAAATTAGGAGAGGCCCTGAGCAAAACCAGCTACATCTCTCTCTTTCCGCCACTGTGTATACTACCTTTTTGCACGGTTATGTGGAGGAAGAGATGTGCATGCAACACCTTAAGGCTTTGTTACAACTCATTTCCCACACCATTTTATCCTCATTTTGATTTCAGTCTCAAGCTAGTGCTCTTGATTTCTCATTTCTTTTCAATGATACTGAGTGTTCATTTCTAGTCGTGGGGTGTGGTTGTTTATATTGATGGCAACATTGTAATGTGTAACTCAGTGACTGTTATTTGACATCTGATTGTCCTGTGAAAGCCGACACGAGTAGTTGCAAACTTTTCCACTCTCCAACTTGATATCCTAACCTCCATGTTATACCCCATCCCCTTCTCCTTCACTGTCTAAGCATTCTCCAACGCTGATTGTAATATCACTGTGTATATATATCACTGTCTCTTTAGAAGTTGATATAATATAAGGTATGACTAAAGGGGGAGAGAGAGAGAAATATATTATGTGAGTAATATTTATTTAAAATGTTTAAATAAGTTAATTTTTTATTATCCTTAATTATAACATGAACTCTAAAATGACAATTATTTCATAACGAGTGAAATAGACATATTATTCATATATTAATATTAAAAGAAAAAAATTAATATTAATATATAAAACTATTAATCTAACATAATTCTCATTTCTAAAGGATAAAAGTGTAATATCATCCAAAGCCAAGTTTTTAATATATAACACTAACAGTCTCAAGACTAGTGGTGGCTTAAATCTTTGGCTCTCAATGATGCACGGCGGCCAAAGCTTGCGGCTTGAACAAAGTGGCACTCAGCGGGGACTGATACACGCGTGCACGGGCGCCTTGATGGTGCGTGTCCTCGGCTGCGCTTGGCTGCTTGCTGCCGTGAAAGGAGTGCCAGGAAAATTGACTAAGGAACTGAAAGTTTTGTGAGTTTTCTAAAGTTGCAAATGGGGGTGGCGGCTTGTGAATGAGGGTTAAATAGGTGAAAGTGAGGGCTTTGGAGTGGGGGTGCCGTTGAGGAGATGTGCCCTGGGTTGTTAGGGACTGAGTCTCCCTTTGCAGGCTAGTGGCTAAGAAGGGTATTGAGGCTGCTAGAGAGCTGCATGTCCGAGAAATATGGGGCAGCGATTAGGCTTGGCTTGAGGTTTGAAGGTTCAAAAAAAAAAAAAATTAAACATTCGAATGCTAAGTGTTGTCATGTCTTAGACCTTGCTTGGAGAGATCCAAACACTTGGCTTATGAACATAAGCTTAAAAATGACTCAGGCACAAAAATAGAACTTCGGTTCAAAATAGAGTATGGCCGAGAACACTAAAATTACTTAAGCAAAAATTGTCGAGCTTAGGGTTTGCAGTTAGGAAAAATTTATGAAAACTTAGGCATGTTTAAGGCTTAGCTAAACTTAGGAGAAATTTGAACACATAGCAAATAAAAATAAAATTCTAACAAATAGGGAAATTAAGTAGATAGGGACATCGACTTAATCTTCATTTTTGGATATGGCAAATTAAATAGACGATGACATTTATTTAATTAAATTAACTAACAAAGTCGAGCTCTTCGTGGAATGCAAATGATATTCTCTTATTAAAACAAAAAGGGCATTACAAAACGAAATTGTTTTCCTATCTTAAGTTTGTCTTGACTAAGAAATGGTTTTAAATTTTGTATTTGGTCATTTAAAAATTAAAACGTGAATATGTCTTTGATATGCTCCTATTAAAACAAAAAGGGCATTACAAAACGATATTGTTTTCCTATCTTAAGTTTGTCTTGACTAAGAAATGTTTTAAAATTTTGTATTTGGTCATTTAAAAATTAAAACGTGAATATGTCTTTTACCCAAATACTTACAAAAAGCACCATCACAAACAAAAACAAAGCCTACCTAATAGCTTGTTAACTAATGTTCAACAAAAAGAAAGCATACTAATCCAATAAAAGGGGGAGCTACCACAAATCCAAAATCAACTAAATACGTAATAAACTCTGAAATGAGGTGATACTCAAGATCTGCTCCAGCCAATCATCAGACGAGAATGTGATACCGTACCAACAAGAACCTTTTGCAGAATTTGTATAATTCTCGAAACGGAGATGGCCTACCAACAAGAACCTTTTGCAGAATTTGTATAATTCTCGAAACGGAGATTGCCAGACGCATAGACCCGACACTTATTAAACCACGTCGTGCAGTCGTCCGAAGAATTGAGGCGGGCCCAATAAACACAGACACACGCTGTACAGTGCAGCCATATAATGTCCTGCCTTCTTATAGACTTCATTAATCTATTAAAGAGAATCATCTCAGTTATTATAAACATGAGAATATCTATAAATATTTTCCAATAATATTATAAACATGAGAATATCTATAAATATTTTCCAATAATATCTATTCTTTATTTCTTTATTGAAATAAAGAAAAGGAAAAC